ACCAAGTTTCTATAAAGGGAAGCCTGCGACTTTCTGTGAAAACAACAAATACAATAACAATAAATAACTAAGTAAATATATTTATTTGTGCCGAATTAAAATCCAAAAATGCAAAGGAAATACTAACTGGCTAATGAGACTTAATCTCTCTCTAAAGCGTTTAGATCTGCAGCTTCAGGGGCTCGTACCTCCACACAGGAAGCGCCTTGTTTAAATAACTATTAATTATTAAATATCAAATATTTAAACTTATACACTGTATGACAGTAATTTAAAAAAAAAAAACAAAGTTTTCTTAATAGTTATTGCATACCATTAAATTCATAAGTTTTGATGTTAGTGAACAGAGAGTGCTGTGAGCTTGTGTAAGTGACATCAGGTATCAGATATAAGAACATAAAGTCCTATTATTGCACATTCTAACCACATGTAGATGTCCTTGTTTGGTATTTTATGATTTCCTGTAAACTGTCTTCCTGTAGAGGGTATCTATTGATGTGTGGGCGGATCATATCAGTGTGTGTGTGTGTGTGTGTGTGTGTGTGTGTGTGTGTATACATACACCTGAAGTTCATCACCAGATCAGCTCCACTAAGACATGATGAAGACTTTATTTCTGTTGCTCCTCTTCTGTCACGTTGTATCTCCAGGTGAGATCACGTTTTATTTCAACCTTTTGTTGTAACAGCAGCTTGATTTCACATATATTCTAGTTTGTTTTAATATATGACAGCGCTCTTTTTTGGGGGTAAAACTACTTGGATCCCAACTTTTAGACTGAAGTTCTTAGATGAAATGTCTATTTTATCCTTTGACAAAATTACCTGAACTCAATGATTGATCTGTACGGAAGACGATTAGGGCCACATGTGGAAAAAAAATAAAACAAACTAGAATTTAATCAACTCCAAAAACAATTCACACGTGACCTCGTGACTTTTCCTTTTTAGAATTCTGACATTAATCTCAGAATTCTGAGAAAAAAGTCAGAATTGTAAATCCTAAACCTCCTCTGTAGATTTGTGCTGCTAAATCTGTGGCATAAAACTTGAGAACGGCCTTGTTGTTAGATTATCAGCTCTTATACTCAATACTTACTCACAACATGCAGATTTCCACCATGAGTTTCTGTGAAACACTGTTGACAGTATGGTTCTTCTACAGGCCAGATGTGGAGGAAACTTGTGCTGCTGCTCTCACACCAGAACTTCTTTAACAGGCCAATTAAAAATAATAATGAGAGAATGTTTCCTCTGTATTTTTATAACCCAGTGTTTCCAAAACATTTTTTTAAAAATTGAGCTCAATTAATTAAGTGCTAAATTGAGTCCTGTAAATACCATAAAGTGACATTCCAAGGTAAAGTTACTGGAAAGAAGCTTAAAAGCACATGATTAAAATAGAAGCAGGTTTATTACAGTATTTGCACTGAAAAACATATTATTTATATTATTGTAACAAACAATTAGATTAATTTTAACACCTTCGGTTGCAAGTATATTTATCATTTTATTGCTCCTATTTAATTATTTAACTTATTGCATTAGGGCTTCGGTGCAGCTTACGTGACTGTCTCGTCACTTTCCGTTCTTTACTCTCTATTACATGAAGCGCGTTGAATTCTCACAGGAGGAGCTGGTTTCTTATAAACTGGTGAACAAGGTTTGGATGCAGCCAAACATGAAATCGATTTAATCAGTTATCTTTTTAAAAAAAACAAATTAGTACATTTTTAGGTTAAAAAATTGCTTAAGTTGCAGAAATGATTAGCTTTACCAAAGAGGCTTAACTTAACAGAAAACCTGTTTCTGCTGCAGTGACTCACTCCCTGCACTTTCTCCACACTGGCGTGTTTGGAGACCAAAAATGGCCGGAGTTTGTCGGCGTTACGATGGTTGATGGAGTTGAGGTGATTTACTGCGACAGCAACATCAGTCGAGCTGAACCCAAACAGGACTGGATGACAAAAGCCCTGGAGCATGATCCAAACCACATGGACTGGTTCACCGATGAGTGTCACGCTGGTCACCGCTCCTTCAACGCCATGATGAAGACTCTGATGCAGAGGTTCGACCAAACTGGAGGTATATTTACTGTAGGTCTCACTTTTTCCTGCTGAATTATTTCTTCAATCTAGTTTGATACACAGCAAACAGATGTAGACACCTGTCATGAACACAAGCGCGCGCACACACACACACACACACACACACACACACACACTAATGCTTTTTTTTGGAATCCACTATTTACAGTACAGTACAACACAGCGCACTGCACAATTCAAGTATGGTTAGTGTCACATGGAGAGAAAACACAGTCTGCACCACACAGACAGGTTACCTGTTAGAGCTGAGATCAAACAGAGGTTTGCTCACTGTCAAGCTTTTTTAAATGTTGTAATGTTGTAAAAAGAATACAATCAAATCATATACTGTACAGTGTATGTAATAACATATTATCTGTCTCTGTCTCAGGTGTCCACATTTACCAGAGGATGTTTGGCTGTGAATTGGACGATGAGACTGAAGAAGTTAATGGTTATAATCAGTTCGGTTATGATGGAGAAGATTTCATAGTATTTGATGTAAAGACAGAGACGTGGATCGCTCCAACACCACAGGCTGTCGATACTAAACAGGAGTGGGACACTGACAAAGCTGCGTTAGCTCACATTAAGAACCTCCTCACCCAGCTCTGTCCTGAAAGGCTGAAGATGTTCGTGAACTCTGGGAAGAGCTCTCTGCTGAGAACAGGTAATCCATGGTCTGCTGCAGTTTTACAACAGCATGTTTGTTTGAATGTCATTTAACATTACAGCGAATATGAAGTAAAATATAGTCTCTCTCCCTCTCTCTCTCTCCCTCTCTCTCTCTCTCTCTCTCTCTCCCTCCAGAGCTTCCCTCAGTGTCTCTCCTCCAGAAGACTCCCTCCTCTCCAGTCAGCTGCCACGCTACAGGTTTCTACCCTCACAGAGCTGTGATGTTCTGGAGGAAAGATGGAGAGGAGCTTCATGAGGACGTGGACCAAGGAGAGATCCTCCCCAACCATGATGAAACCTTCCAGATGAGAGTTGATCTTTCATCAGTCACACCTGAAGACTGGAGGAGGTACGACTGTGTGTTTCAGCTCTCTGGAGTGAAGGAGGACGTCGTCACCAGACTGGACAAAGCAGAGATCAGGACCAACTGGGGAAATATTGGGATTAGAAAAGATGAAGGTGGTCAACAGATTCTAAACTCAACCATTTCAGGTAAAGCTGGAATCAGACATAACAGAGGTGGGAAACACACATGTAGTTTATTTCACCTGATTTTCTGCACATGCGTTTTGTGTTTGTTGTGCTGATGCGACCACTTGTCTCTTTTTTAGTTTGGGTTTGTTTTACATCTTTGACATTTATCAATTGCCACAGAATTCATTGATTAAGCAGCTGCTTTGGTTATTGTTATATGAAATAATTGTATGCAATGAGACTTGATGATGAAGGATGAAACAGCAACAACAATATTGAATATCACAATATTTACTGGCATATGCAATGTTTTTCATAATATTGAGAGAAGAAAATGAAGGTAAGAGTGAAGATTAGAGGGTGGGTGGAGGCCAGGGTTTTTTTATTCCTGTTTATGGTTCTAGGATTATCTGAAATTTTTAATTGAACGTTAGTCATTAACAACACAAAGAACAAGAACTTGCTGAGAAATAGGTGTGTATAGTGTCACCACTGTGGCCCACTACGTTTTATGCACTTACTCTTTCATTTTAACCTAAACATTATTTTTTAATTCATTCTTCAGCCAATTTTTCAAGACTTTCCAGAAGTTTAATCTTATTCCTGCCCTTTTATCAGAGAAAAGTAATCGGGATGACAGGGAAATGAGCATGACATGACAGAAAAGTTCAAAGGTTCCAGGTCATGTTGACTTCCACCCTTGTGATTTGTAATATCTGAGAGCCTCTTCAACGGAATATTCTCAAAATTTGGCACATATCTCACTAGGGACTCTGGATTTGGGGTCAAAAGGTCACAGTGACCTGTGAAAACACTTTTTAACCATAACTCAAGACTTCACACATCAATTATTTGACAATTTCACACAAATTGTTCATACTTATTATTTAAGACTTACTGGATATAAAACAGATGTAACTCTCTGAAATCTTAGCGTCTTGAGGATGGCTGAAGGGATATTCCATTACTCCGAGGAGTGATTCTATTTTTTGTAGTTATATTCGAGTGATTCGTGTTGACCCAGGGATATGATTGACAGCACCTGCTAACTCTGACTGCGTTACCACTGGAAACCACTTTCAGAAACACACCGCATGTGGACATAGCATGCAGCACTGCAATGGTGAAGAGATTTGTTTGGTTGCCAGTTCCTCCTTTTTCAGAGTTCCTGTCTGCGGCTCTCATTGTACGGGATCAATAGTCGGGGTGTTGCGCAACTTGCTGTCTCCATTTACCTAACTCCTGCGCCCAATCTCTGCTGAATTCTTCCCATCTCGTCTCACAAGTAGGAACAGATGAACTGGGTGGAGGCAAACAGTGTCCCCCCCCCAGCTACCTGTGATATAACTGGCTAGCTCAGATGCGACTCACAATTATGTGAGTGTATAGAAGCTCTCCCTGGTACTCTTCGTCTGTAATTCAGGCGTCTCTCAGCAGCGCAATAGACTCAATAATATAACCCTCCTGGCTTCTCCGTAGCCGCAATAAAATGTGACAGATCATAGAAGGCATTCTCCGTGGTATATATATATATATATAAATATAATGTCGATACATTTGAACAGCCGAGAATCGCACAGCGGTCGGAGGGTTCAGGGGACGCGGACTTGCGGGCATACTCCACTAACTCTCTCCTAATGAATGGTTCCTGACCACGTTCTCTGTATTGGTTACAGTCTCTGACCATCACGGCTCGCACACGTCATTCATGAAAATTTCTGCCATTTTTAAAAAACCTCAGCTGTTCAGATTAAACACTGGTTCACTAACTCATCTCTTTCTCTTGAGTGGGAGTTTACTCGGTGAAGCAGAAGAGAATGGAAGCTCGTTCCTCTCTTGCTATCACCGGTGCCTCATGGTTTACTTTTTCAGATATTCCACTAAAGTCAAGAGTGTTTCGTCTTGTAGAAAGGCAGCTGCTAGTGTAGCTAGACGGGACAAGGACTACAGAGCTTGTGTTAGAAATAATTGTCGCCACAGAACCGCTCCCAAATCCTTCCATTGACAATTGATTTGGGATAGGTCACATCTTCTCTAGATTGCAAAAGAGTGCGCGATTTATTATTTGTATACCAAAGTCAAAATTCAAACGGTCAATAAAACTCGACTGTGAGTGCTGGAAGGTGCTATATATCCACATATAGGGCCCAGAACTATCGCACTTGGAGTGCTCTCTGCACCATGAGTGACTTAACATATCGCGAACGCGCTCTATGATCCATATACTAGGGCCATCAGGGGTGCAAGTAAGATAACTAAATAAAAAAATACGAGTACACAGAACCATGCAGGCGGCAAGAGGTCGAAAGCGTCGCTCTCATACAGGATTCCAGATCTGGGCACCTACGCGCTCTCATCGCTCCCTGTGTATGTTCGCTGTTCTACTTCAAGGGGAAGGGTAAGTGTTGGATGAATATCATAGTGGCCTTCGGAAGCCACCTGGCCCCAGGGTGTCTGATCCTACCATTACCCAAGCTCATCACTGGCTCTTGGAAGCCTATCCTCGTGGCGACAGATTATATCATGCATCGAAGCATATCCTGCATTTCCCCCGGGCACTCGGGAAACAACAGGCGGGTTGTTGCTGTGTCACGTCATAGCACTGCTAAATGACACTTTGATCCGCGAATGCGATAGAGCTCTCTCAACCAGCTAGCAAACATATTCATCAAATATAGCGATATCCTCTTCGTGAGTGGTGTTTGTTCATAATCATTGAAGGTGCGAGAGGTAATAATATAAAATTCCAAACTCAGATACAAGATGTAATTAGCTCTTCTCTCAGGCTGCAAATATGCATGGTGGGTTGATCTGTGTACCTAGATATGAAGTTGCAGAACAGTTTATGGGTCCAAGCGTGATGTTTGTGTCATTCATATCGATATGGGGGACATGTCTGCTCGTCTCTAATTGCAATTATAAAGACAGCACTTACGAGTCTCTCTCAAATTTGAATATCCTGCTCCTCCTCTCTCTGTAAGAGCATGACTCTTAAATTGCCAATCAGTTTGATTGAAAATCTTGGGATTGTGAGTGTTCAAGTTTGTCCCTATTTTTTTTACACTTAAACATTCTAAAGTGTTGCGCACACATGATGTGTTTGAGAGGTGCTATATTAAATACCTCATGCATCATATTGAGCAATGTTGCATCTGAGTGATGCTTTGGTCAGTCAAAACACTCGCACGCTCTCTATGGCTGCCAAAATGAAATGAGAAGTAGGAACTTTCACTTCTTGCTTCTTTTGTTCCGTCTCTCTCTGCGCCATACTCAAAAACCAACGTATTGTTTTATACCTTAAAACTGCTATGCACATTACTAAAGAACAATGCGTGCACATGGTATCAGCAAAGGGACGTCTGTTATATTCTGGAGTTCTATCATTAATTAGATAAAGCAAGTTAAGAAACCAATGTGGCAATGAGCATAATAAAGTATAGGATTTTCCAGGTTCCAGTCGAGATCATTTACTGTGATAAATTATATTTCTTTCTGGACTTTTAAGATTGTAGCTTCAGTGGTTTTAAGTGTCCGTGGAGAAGAACAAGCTTTCTATAAAAGGAAGCCTGCACTTTCTGTGACAACAACAAAATACAATAATAACTAAATAACTAAGTAAATCATATTTCATTCTCGTGCCAAATATAAAAATCCAACAATTTGCCAAAGGAGAGATATAACTGCCGCTAATGAGACTTAATCTCTCTCTAAACGTTTGAGATACTGCAGCTTCAGGGGCTTCGTACCTCCACACAGGCAGCAGGGTAAGCTCCTTGTTTTAATATAAACTATTAATTTATTAAATATCAAATATTTAAAATTATATACTGTATGACCAGTAATTTAAAAAAAAATGTTTTCTTTAAAGTTATTGCATACCATTTAAATTCATAAGTTTTATGTAAGTGAACCGAGAGTGCTGTCTTCTGAGCTTGGTTTTTATAGGTAAAACACAAGAAACTTGCTTGAGAAAATGGAACCAAACCTCAGTGAATAGCTCCCAAGCGTAACATCCTAAATCCTATAACTTTAATTCAGCTATTACGACTATTGGCCAGTGATAGATAACATGTCTTTGGGGGTCATCAGGTGGGAACCTTCCTTCCACCGAGTGGTTTCGTCTAGTTGCGTCACCGACACCTCCAGGAGGCTAGGGACAGTGATCACTGGCGGTTCCCATGAAGTCACTCCCTAATGGCCAGCCATCACTGGCTGCGTGACCACAGTTATTTTCTCCTTTTACCTGCCTATGTAGCCACAAATACAACATCAATCACACTAGGACAAAAACCACACCGCCAGGATTCAGAAACAAACTCCCTAAAAACAGTTCTGTTTCTTGTGTTTAGGACTGGATGTTTTTTTCTCTATTTTTCTTTTTCCAGAAAGTGGCCGGCCAATTTGAATGAGGGGGAGGTAGAGTTGAGGGAGAGGGCCTGTTGGCTAAACTTCCCCGCCGGAGTTAGGGGCTGTGCTCTACCTCCCCCTACTCCCCACTCTCCAAAGACCCAATTACACAAACTCACCTACAAACTCACCTTAAAACCAAAAACCAACTCATAGGACAGTCAAAGACACACTACCAAACCCAATTCAAAAACAATAAAAAACAAACAATTTACAGGCCAACTTTCACCTGGACTAACCACATGGTCTCAACAGAGGCTCACACAGGCCACCACCCACTCACTTAGTAAATAAAACACTTCCTTCTTCCTGGATTTTCTTCCTTGCTTCTCCATCAGAGTCTGTCTAGATTCACTAAGTGCTCCCCCTGCTGGGCCCCCAGTACCCATTACTTCTTCTCATTCCTACATTCCACTGAGCTGGAATCTTACTGCCTCATCTGACATGTCATACATTGTTCCTCACACTCTTGTCCACTCACTCCTAACTCCCTCACCAAAGAGACGAACAGGACCTTGCTATAAAATGCCTCTAACACCTACTTCACTGGACAATTCCTAACTTTCCATCCTCGCTGCTCTCTTCTGCCCCTAACTCTGACATACCTGAGCTTTTTCCTTTTCATTATTGCTTTCTTTCAACTGAAGCCTCCCACGGAACAGTCAGCTCTATTGAAAATATACTTTCGTTTTTCTACTCCTAGACCACAAAAGACTATGTCAGCCTTAACTTTGTACTGGCTTATTTCCTGGGGAACAACAAGCGTTTCCTCCTAAATCTACCTGCATTTCCCAATCACCAAGGCATCCTCTAAGCTGCTTGCCTCCTTGCTGTTCTTACTAACTTTCTCTCCCTCTTGAAACCCAAAACTTGAGTTGCAACTTCTTTATTGTTTTAGGACCCTCCCCTAAATTTTGCTGCCTCCGTTGGTCTTCATTTCCTGAGCCTAAGCTTTTTAAAACCTGGTTATGTTCGCACTATACCGGCTTGCAACAGAAACTAACCTAAGCCTGACAAAATGTGCTTTAGAGTTGCAGTTACCTGAAAACACAATGAACATAGGCTGTTGAGCTTGTGTAAGGTGACATCAGTATCCCAGACTATAAGAACATAAAGTCTCTATTATTTGCACAATTCTAACCACATATAGATGTCCTTGGTTTGGTATTTTATGATTTCCTGTAAACTGTCTTCCTGTAGAGGGTATCTATTGATGTGTGGGCGATCATATCATTAGTGTGTGTGTGTGTGTGTGTGTGTGTGTGTGTGTGGTGTGTGTGTGTGTGTGTGTGTTGTGTGTGTTATCAATCACCTGAAGTTCATCACCAGATCAGCTTCCACTAAGACATGATGAAGCTTTATTTCTGTTGCTCCTTTCTGTCACGTGTACTCACGGTTTGAGATACACGTTTTATTTCAACTTCCTTTTGTAACAGCAGCTTGATTTCACATATATTCTAGTTTGTTTAATATATGACAGCGCTCTTTTTTGGGGTAAAAACTACTTGGATCCAACTTTTAGACTGAAGTTCTTTAAGATGAAAGTCTTTTTTATCCTTTGACAAAATTACCTGAACCAATGATTGATCTGTACGGAAGACGATTTAGGGCCACATTGTGGAAAAAAATAAAACAAACTAGAATTTAATCAACTCCAAAAACAATTCACACGTGACCTCGTGACTTTTCCTTTTTAGAATTTCTGACATTAATCTCAGAATTCTGAGAAAAAAGTCAGAATTGTAAATCCTAAACCTCCTCTGTAGATTTGTGCTGCTAAATCTGTGGCATAAAACTTCGTAGAAACGGCCTTGTTGCGTTTAGATCTCCAGAGCTTCCCTCAGTGTCTCTCCTCCAGAAGACTCCCTCCTCTCCAGTCAGCTGCCACGCTACAGGTTTCTTCCCTCACAGAGCTGTGATGTTCTGGAGGAAAGATGGAGAGGAGCTTCATGAGGACGTGGACCAAGGAGAGATCCTCCCCAACCCTGATGGAAGCTTCCAGATGAGAGTTGACCTGAACATTTCATCAGTCACACCTGAAGACTGGAGGAGGTACGACTGTGTGTTTCAGCTCTCTGGAGTGAGGGAGGACGTCGTCACCAGACTGGACAAAGCAGAGATCAGGACCAACTGGGGAAATATTGGGATTAGAAAGGATGAAGGTGGTCAACAGATTCTAAACTCAACCATTTCAGGTAAAGCTGGAATCAGACATAACAGAGGTGGGAAACACACATGTAGTTTATTTCACCTGATTTTCTGCACATGCGTTTTGTGTTTGTTGTGCTGATGCGACCACTTGTCTCTTTTTTAGTTTGGGTTTGTTTTACATCTTTGACATTTATCAATTGCCACAGAATTCATTGATTAAGCAGCTGCTTTGGTTATTGTTATATGAAATAATGGGATGTACTGAAGGTATGTGGTGAGAGGAAGGAGTTAGGTAAGTTGGGGTACCCTGTACATCTCAACATGCCGTTTTCCTTTGTCTAGAAACATTAGGTTAGTGGTGGGTGCCACCCGCTGTATTGTTTTGGAGGCTCTTGTCTTAGATTAGGGAGATAGGTTTTCTTTTGTGTGTTTTTGTTTCAGTAGACGAAGATAGCTTAGGCCTCATTTTGTTTTATTGGGTTCATTTCATTGGCACACCACCTTTGTCCCTTCCTCCCCCACATTGGACTTCCTTGTTGAGACCTTCAGGGTGCAATAAACTACCTTCTAGTACTCATTGACTCAGTTTAATTCTTGATTTGTCACGTTACGGTTCCTGTCACCCCTAGACTCCAACTAAGGGACGTAACAGTGAGGTACAAATGAGCCAGACCAGAACATTAGAAAATCACTGTCAGGAAAACGACTGCTGCTGTGCTGCAGACATTATTGTCTTTGTAAAACATTGTGTGTTTACTGATTTTAATAATTGCGTGGTGGTAAAAAAAAAAAAAAAGCTTACCATTATTATTATAATAAGCTCTTTTGGACTTTAGCAGCAGACAAGCTGAGACACAGAGTTTCCGTGAAGCAGGAAGGAACAGGGAACAGAGGATAGTCAGAGTGAAGCCCTCGTTCACCTGCAGGGAGTCACTCAGGTGAACACACCTTAAGAATTCACAGAATTTAACAACCAGGAAACATCTTTGAAATAAACAAAGTAAAACCAACTGACTTCAGCTGTGTCTGTGTGAACAAGATGGAGAAGCTCATGATACTGCTGCTCTTCTGCCACGAAGCGTCTACAGGTCAGATCAATACATGTGTATATATGTATATATATATATATAAAATAACTGTTATATAACTTGTTCTATAATTGTTGCTCACCTTTATCAAATAATTTTTTTTATGACCATTTTAAAAACATGCTAAGAGATTGTAATTTTCGGAATGAGGTCATATTATGGGGGATTTCAGTATCAGCTGGAAGGATAAACCTCAGACTCTAACTCTGATCTCTCTCAGGTGATTAAAGGACGCACTGATTGTTCTTAAGTCTAAAATCTTAAAATCTTTTAACATGATTATCAGACTGTCTCATCACAATCTGATGCTGGTGGTTTAAACTTTTCAAATTTCAGGAACATCATTGTAAGGTGTTCGCATAACACGGGACTATAATGTCTTATTCTTGTTTTTTCGGCTCATTGTGATTGATCAAACGTAAAAAATCTCTTTGTGTTCAGGGAAGTGAAAACTAGTAAATACTAAAATAATGTTTGAATAAAATAAAACAACTCAAATCCATTAAATCCTCTTTGTTTTACAGTCAAACACTCGTTGAAGTTTCACGCCATGATTTCTTCTGGAAATCCAAACATCCCTGATTATATGGCTGCAGCAAACTTTGAGGAAGTTGAGATGGCGTACTATGACAGCAACATGAAAACACCAGAACCCAGACATGCCTTGATGAGAATATTAATACAGAATAATCAACAAGACTGGGAAGGGATGTCTGAGGGTTACATTAACTATGAGCAGCTCCTCAGAGTGCAAACAGACAGTTTCAAGCAGCACTCAAACCAAACTGGAGGTATGTTTCTGACAAGATGTTTATTTCTTTTTCCACTTGATTAGAACAGAATTACTCTGCTGAGTTGGTCAGTAATGACTCTGCTGCAGAAACCTGTGTATGACAACAGCGTTACAACACACGGATGAGTAGATGAACATTACTATGCACTGTTTGCTTTTCTGCTGCTGGTTGGTGCATTCATGCAACAATCACCTCATTAGTTAAAAAAAAGTGATATGGAGAAACACCCCTCATTCTGACCTGGAGTATTCAAACATTCAGTTTTATTTGTAAAGCGCCAAGACCATAATTTATTATAGACATTAGCAAACACTTGGCGACAGGAGGGAGGAAGGATCCCTACTGCTCACCTTGTAGTCACAAAGGATAAACAGCCTAAATCTGATGCTATTTTGTTGTGTTATGTATTTGTAACACCACATATTCCAGTAACTCAGATTCACAATCTTCTCCCAGGACTCTTGTCCCAGTCACGCTGACATGAGCTCAATTACTAATCATAGTAATTAACTATTCTCAGTTCACTAATGCTTTCCAAAGAATACATGAGGTACATGCTGAAATACTAAAAATACTTGAGATGACTTTTTGCCACAACATAACAAGCAAACAATGTAAAGCTCCTGTAAAACTGCATCAGTGTGACTACTGGATTTTACTTTGATGTAACTGACAGCTGTGGAGTCTTTGCAGCCAAAGGTTTGCTGAGATGTCTGCAGTTCTTTTCACTGAGACTGAGTCTGACTGAGTCAGAGGCCGACGTGAAAGGTTGTTGCCTCTCGGGTAATTACACTTTAAAGGACATGATGTGAACATGAAAATTGTGAGATTGAGATGTAGATAAAATTAAAAGACAGAGAACAGAGAAGTACAAAACTAACATTTTTTGTTTATCTTCATCTGTGCAGCTCTCAGAGCACGAGGAGAAAATTACTGAGGCTGTGCTGCAGTCATTATGGTTTTTGTAAAGCAATGTGTATTCACTGATTTATGCTTTATAAACATTTTTTTACTTTATTAACATGTTAATAGGGGCGGCACGGTGGTAAAGTGGTTAGCGCTGCCGCCTCACAGCAAGAAGGTTCCGGGTTCGAGTCCCGGCTCGGACACGGGGTCTTTCTGTGTGGAGTTTGCATGTTCTCCCCGTGCTTGTGTGGGTTCTCTCCGGGTACTCCGGCTTCCTCCCACAGTTCAAAGACATGCAAATGGGGATTAGGCTGATTGGTTACTCCAAATTGACCATAGGTGTGAATGTGAGAGTGGATGGTTGTTTGTCTCTGTGTGTTTGCCCTGTGATGGACTGGCGACCTGTCCAGGGTGTACCCCGCCTCTCGCCCGAAAGGATGCTGGGATAGGCTCCAGCCGCCCCGCGACCCTACTAGAGGATAAGCGGTAGACAATGAATGAATGAATGAACATGTTAATAGCTGCATAAATGTCTGAACAAAAGAGAAGCATGAGTGGAGTTATTTCACATGCAGGTGACTATGTAATTATTAGCATAGTAAAATGAAATACCCCTTGAGGGATTTGTGATACTGGAATATACAACACCTTGTCTTGACCCTAACTGCTGCTCTCTAAACTTGATGCCTCGTCTAAAATGATGTCAGGGTGACATTGCGTCAGAGTTGTAGTGAAATGGTAAATCAGTCTGATCAGGAGACAATGACAGTTCGTCTCTTCAGTAATGATGTCACATCAACTGCTACGGAAGAGGATTAGGGACACAACTCTGAGGAAAAAAGTCAGAGTTGGACTTTCACATGTGGCGCTGATCCTCTTCCATAAACTGCAGCTGAGTGCAGCTGAACTCACTCTGGTTTACTCTCTGTCTCTGTCTCTGTCTCTCAGGTGTTCACATCATCCAGCAGATGTTGGGCTGTGATTGGGATGATGAGACTGAAAAGGTTATAGGTTATAATCAATATGGTTATAATGGGGAAGACTTCCTCACATTTGACCTGGAGACAGAGACGTGGATCGCGGCAAACCCCCAGGCTGACACCACTAAACAGGAGTGGGATGGAAATACAGCTAATAATCAGTATTGGAAGAACATCGTCATCAACGTTTATCCTTTCTGGCTGAAGAAGTATTTGATCTATGCAAGTGGTTTTCTGGATAGACCAGGTAGAGTCACGTGACCTGAAATGTCTCTTTACAGTGTATATGACCGTGTTTCCACTTTTACTCTCACTGTCGTTCATTCACGTCTTTGTCTTTACTCTCTCTCTCTGTCTCACTCTTACTCGCTCTATTAACATCTCTAACTCATAGTGCGTCAGACTGGGATGGTAATATGAATGGAAATAATAAATGAAGCTGGGTTCAGTTATGCATTTACAGATGATTATCCTGAATCATATAAATATCTTTGTACGTGAAAGAATGTGTGGGCAAGAAGCAAGTGAAAATAATGATAATAAAGTGTTTATGTTTGTAATACTCATGTCAGCCTCAACAGGATATGATTTGTGTTTGTCCACATGTAACTTTGTCTGGCAGGACTGTGGGTTTTTTTTGTTACCACCATAAACGGACATTCACTCTTCAATCATGACCAGTGGTGAAATGTAACAAAGTACATTTACTCATGTTCTGTTCTTCACTACGGTTTTAATATAGTTGAGTAGTATGATTGAGTATATACCCACTTTATACTTCTACTCCACCACAGTTCTGGGGGAAAGGTTGTACTTTTCACTCAACTACATTTATGGGACAGATTGAAGTCACAGTTATTTTTTCTTCTTCTCCCTCCATTCATCATCTCAAGACCGACCCAAATTTACCCTGAGACCCTGTAGAGGTGGTCCAACCCTCAGGTTGAGAACCACTACAGAGGATGCAGGATTTTTATTTATAATGGAATATTTTTTTTATTGTTATTAAGTATAGCATTAATATAGTACAGCATCTAACTAATAATTCAGTTAACCCCTGTATTATCATCATGAGTGAGACTTTGGCTCCCCCTGGTGGTGGAGGTAAACTGCATCATGTGCACTTGAACTGATGCACAGGATATGTTCACTGTCTCCAGAGCTTCCCTCAGTGTCTCTCCTCCAGAAGACTCCCTCCTCTCCAGTCAGCTGCCACGCTACAGGTTTCTTCCCTCACAGAGCTGTGATGTTCTGGAGGAAAGATGGAGAGGAGCTTCATGAGGACGTGGACCAAGGAGAGACCCTCCCCAACCATGATGGAAGCTTCCAGATGAGAGTTGACCTGGACATTTCATCAGTCACACCTGAAGACTGGAGGAGGTACGACTGTGTGTTTCAGCTCTTTGGAGTGAAGGAGGACATCGTCACCAAACTGGACAAAGCAGTGATCAGGACCAATGAAGGTAAGAGTGAGATCAGAGGTGATGGAGATTGAAAATACACACTTCTTTCTTTCTTTCTTTCTTTCTTTCTTTCTTTCTTTCTTTCTTTCTTTCTTT